TACACTTAAAATATTCTTAAGTTACCCATTTGTCCTTAAATTTGTTAGCTACACTTGTCTTGATCTTCACACATCTAATACTTACAGCTTACATCTACGTTTCTTTTTCACATTATATTTATATAAATACGTGCTGGTTTTAAAAATTTTGATGATGAATATTCTTATTTACTGCAACTAATTTCGTTTACCTATAATGACAGCATATTTCACTAACTGTTTTTAGATAATCATTTGATGTTCTACATTTGTCTTTCCATCCATCCAGCTTACTTCTACAGTTTCACAGTCCTCATGCGCCTTAGGAGCAACTAATGAACCTACCTTCCACACTACTCTCTCAGAGGATCAAACTAATTCGGTGCAACCTGCTTCCCCCCCGCTTACCTCAAATCACTCCGATTCTCTGACTAACGAACATATTGTCTTGAATCGATTCGGTGATAATTATTGTCAGAAGAATTGCTGTCAAACCATCTATCTCCGAGAATTCAGTGATCCAAATTTGCAGTTTTGTGGCCCCGGGATGCTTGTATGCAAGAGTTCGGATTCGCCTACTCTTGGGCCTGTATCGCAAAAAATGGATCTATTTGATCCACCCGTTATTACAAATATATTAACTAATACTGACATCCCTTCCCAAGATGCACCCGATGTATATAGGAGCCAGACCAATGTCTCATCAGGTGTATTGGCCCATAATGAAGTAAATTTATATTTAAACATTCTTATCTAACTGCCTATCTATCTATCTATCTATCTGCCCCTTTATGAAATCTCTCACTTATAAATGATTCAAAAAGCAAATTATTCACTTAACTTTTATTCTTTTTATCCTTATTCATTTTCAGCTATTTTGCTTGTTTACGATTGAAATTTCACTTAGAATGTTTCCCCTTATATATTTGATTGCTTCTTCTTATATGGAGTGGTTAATAGTTGAGCTATAATTAATTTAAAGGCAGGAATATTTGAATGAACCCCGTTAGTACTGAGGGCTAATATTTCATAATAATCTGGACCTCATCTATAATATAATGATGTTACAACTCAAATGTTGGCTTATATACAGACATTTTACTCGCAAATACGTCATTGTGAAAGCTAATCGATGGCGAACTCGGGAACCCTTCTGGATAGCTCGCCTTTGGAGTATCAGGTGATCATAAATTTATTAGCGAAGTTCTCCATCATGGTTTCATTATGGTTCGTTAACTTATCTCGCCACTTAAACCCAGGCGATCCCAAATTTATACCCAGCCTCAGAGCTAAGACAGTAGCTAGAGGCAGCGAATAAATAAATATATGAGCTGGTAGGTAAGCA